ATCCTGTCTCTGTGAATCTGAGAGTTTGTTGTATCTTTAATAAATATCAGATTAAATGATGCTGCTTTATTTAATTTTTGGTTTCTCGGTCCCAAAACACCCGTTTTATTGCAAGGGGATTATTCACTCTCTTCTCGGTTGGCATAAATTCCAGCTTCCCAGCGCAGCGCCAGGGCGCTCTTCCTGCGGTTCACCCTGGTAGCCTCAAGGACCTGGAAAAGAAAAAAAAATCACTTAATTTGCTTGCTGTCTTCCATTCCTGTCTATTGCCCCTTTTTTCTCGGTCACAATTACTTGCACACATAGCACTAAGTGGTGCAGTCCTCACACGAGCCGCATAACTGCAGCTATCTATGTCATTACGTGTGAGCAAGGGTTATGCCACATCGCCCGTAAGGTCACAGCTGTACTATTTCAGTTCTAAGTCACTACCTGTAGAGACCATAATCCTTCACGCTTGCTGTGGTGTTTGGCTTGAAGCAACAATCGATGGAATGCATGCACGGAAGAACACAGAGTCCACTGGGTTAAAAAAATAAATAAAATCACACACCACATGCCTGAAGAGGGACTGATGCGACTCACAGGCCTGATCTTGGCCACCAGCACATGGCAGAACCTCCCACTTGGGGAATAAGAGGAAATCTCATACATACACCATCAGATCCTCCATTCAGCATGCTCTGTGCGCCAGGGACAGCAAAATGGACTCCAAACTAGTCCTGTGTCCAATATCCAGGGAATCTGCTCAAGAGGCTGAACCAGGTCTTTTTTTTTTCTTTTGAATTGCTTATAATGCACTTCATTCTGGGCCACAGTCCAAACCACCTATTTCAACTGAGTAGCTATAGAATTCCCCCGGCAACTTCTGCTGTCTGGATAAGCATCCAGCAGTGCAGGGAAGTAAATAGGCTACTTACTATTGAAGAGCCATTGGAATCTGGTCAGAGCTCTAAACACAGGCCTGGGTCCTCCTGATAAACCATAGAGATTCTCATTTAGCACAGCTAGTCAAAGCCTCTAATTTGGAGTCAGGAGCTGTGTGCCTTGTGCTGCATTTATGTGGCTTTGGGTGGCAACCCTGCTATGCTGAAGTGTCCAGCAAGTGGACTGAAGTCAACAGGGCTATTCATGGAGTAAGGTGCTAATCAAGGCACTGGATTTTTGCCTCCTGTTCTCAGCTACACCCCTACAAGTCCTTTGAAGGCACGGGGCTGTATAAATGGAGCTGACAGCAGAATTATCCCTACAGAAGTTAGATGCCTAACTCCTGCCCCTTCCGTTGGAGCCCTGAGTTGCTCCCCCCCGCCCCACCACACACACCAACCATGCTAGTGCTCAGCCACCGCTTGCCTCAGTTTGCTGGCTGCCAGCAGAGCTGAGCTCCCCTTCCTGCTAGCTTGGATGCTGACTTGGGGGATAGGGAAGAGTATAGGCAGGGCCAGGGCTTGGTTTAGGGATGGCATAGCCTCCCCTGACCTGCTGTAAAATGCACCATGTAGAAAATCAGAACTGGGAATAGGCATCTCTTTTGTTGCTACTGCTCTTTGGACTTTTGTCACTTGTGTAGAATTGGCTTGAAAATTGGCACATAGGCTCCACAAAGTTAATACCATGAACTAGGCTAGTTGGTTCTCTCAGGCTTCGATTGAATAA